GGAAGGCGTTGTGTTTGGTCCGATGACGAAGTCGGAAGCGGAGCGTTTGGAAGGGCGTGATGCATCGGTTGGTGGGAAGGCGGCTGGGAAGGCTGTGTCTGTTGGGAAGCCTGCGGGACCTCCTGCCGCGAAGCAGGCAGCTGCTAAGAGCGGGGCGTTGGGTGGCGACAGTTCAGCAAAAGCGGCACCGGGAGCGCGGGGACCGGCTGCAGCAGTTGCAGCAGGTGAAGCGGAGGGAGGAGCGGTTGGGGCAGGCGCAGGTGTATCGGAGGAAGGCGTTGTGTTTGGTCCGATGACGAAGTCGGAAGCGGAGCGTTTGGAAGGGCGTGATGCATCGGTTAGTGGGAAGGCGGCTGGGAAGGCTGTGTCTGTTGGGAAGCCTGCGGGACCTCCTGCCGCGAAGCAGGCAGCTGCTAAGAGCGGTGCGTTGGGTGGCGACAGTTCATTATCACTGGAACCGTTCAGAGAAGCTGCAGGAGGTGCGAGAGGCGAAGGAGTTGGAGGGGCAGGAGTGTCTGGTGCGGATGAAGGTGTTGTGTTATGTCCATTGAAGACGGTTGCCAAGTGTTTGGAGCTGCGTGATTCGTCGACTCCGCGTGAGTCCTCTCGTTGGATTGGATCAGTTGGACGACGATGTTACATATTAGATGTTTATTATTGCGGTTTTGCCCGTTTACCATTTGCTCTATAGATTGTCTTGCGCTATGTGTCTCGTTGTTAGAGTATCGTGTTTTGTAATGAGAATTGCAGTGGTACTGGTGTTGAGATGAACTTGTCCGAGTAGTTTGGGTTGTACCATTTTGCGATGAGAATGTGAAGCGATGCTTCGTGTTGTTGTTTTGTTGTTTGTTATGCAGTCACTAATAAGAAGCTTGAAGGGAAAGCGTCTAAAGTATTCAGGTGCACGCGTTCCACAAATAATCCTGCGCTTGGTTCGCCAGTCGCGTCGAATGCCTTCACTGGAGCGGCTAAATCTGAGCCCACACAAGTGCAGAAGAATACGGAAGAGTTTGTGGAAGTACCACTTTTGCGACTTCACACACATACTGCAGGGGGCAAGACGCTTACACTCAAGGTGGCTCCTAAACGGAGCCGCTCATCACAGGGCTTCATTCAGTGCAGAGAAGCGCAGCCTGTCTCCCTCCCCGTTGCGCACGGCGAATTGGAGGAAAGTAGTAAAAAACGTGGTGCAGTGGCCGCACGCCACTTGTTCAAGAGGCCAAAGGGTAGTCACTTCATTTCACATGCTGGTCCACCAACTGCGCGACCCGCACCAGCGAAGCCGATATCCCCAAGAAGAACAGTAGGCGTAGTCCCAGCTGACACCCTTGTGAGGCAGAGCAGCTGCGTTTTAGAGGAACATGGGCACGAAGGCGCTGAGATTGGGAGTTCTACTATCATAAACGCAAAAGAGTCATCTAAGCGTACGACGGAAGCGCAGCCCTCTTTAGACGCCGTTGCGTCTACCTATCAAGGGCATCTAGACTCTTCAGTAACTCCACACAGTGCTCATGAGGGGAGCGTGCCGAAGCTTCTTCCCTCAGGGGATTCTTACTTCAGCGTTTCGGCCAAGTCAGCGAAGTCAGAAAACAACTGCGTTACCCTACATGACTTTACCAAGCCTTCGGCGGCGAATGCGAAAGTAAGTGTTCCTGATTTTCGTGAGGCAGCATTGAGTAGAAGTAAAAGAAGATATATCTGGGTGCATAAGCCCAGTGAAGAGCTTCTACAGGAACACGTAACGTGTGTGTTGGATATTTTAGGAGGCTACCCGCATTCAAGCCACCTGGCGAGGACGAGATGTGAGAACATGGGTACAGGCTGCATCTATTGTGCGCCGTATAAAGTGGGACTGTTCTTCTGAAGAGAAAACTACACTGGTACTTGGCAAAGTTCAGGCTACTCCTGCTGGCTTTAAATTGAAGAACGGTCCGGAAGATGCGGGCGAATTAAAGCCTCGGACGAAGCCAATAACCCCCGATATTTCTGTTGCAAAACCAGCTCCGGTTGTCACTTCCCGTCAAAAAGTACGAACAAAACCTATCCCGGCAGAGGAGGCCCTTTCACGTGAGTCAGTTGTCCCGTGTTTTCTTGAAGTATCCAGGGCGAGCTAGGCTAAGCTTGCTCTTGGAACGTGGTTTTGACGAGGCAGCTGCATCCGAATTTCTATGTGTGGATGTGCAGAGAAATCAGGAAAAGATATCAGCTCCGTCGAATGCATTCCTAATACAGGGGAAAGCTCAGTCTCAATTTCTAGATCACTGATTAGAGGGACAACAAAAGGGCTGGAAGCACCGCGTAAAAAGTGTGGTGACACTTATGCTGCTCCAGAGGGCTCTTTGACTGGGGCTTATCCCGGAAACGGGAACGGTAGTGATACTTTGAAGATAAAGGCCGTCGTGGATGCGGAGCCTGGCGGACCTGACGAAGCTACGCAGCGAAGTGCTGGATTTTCTCAGGGCACGTTACCATTGGCCCCAATAAAGTGTTCAGACATCCCTTGCCGCGATCCACCTGATGTAAGGGAAGTTTCTTTAATAAGCGGAAGAACACTTGTGTCCGATTTAAGAAAAACAAATTCGGAAGACTCAAGCTCCCTAAAGTTAACGTGCCAGGCATCTCAGGGACCAACTGCATCCGAGCTGCATCCCTCATCCTTTGGTTTGCCACAGACGCAATCGTCTCTGCCCCTTCGCAATAGTGGCACCTTAGATGGAGAGGACAACAACACGAATAGCTTTCTCCCAAGCGTAGGAGAGCTCACTGCAAATGTAGCTCTGCGTGGGCGCAGCGGTTCAAATTGGAACCCCGTTGGTGGTCTGCACAATGCAAAATCCATGCCTGGAAGCGACCTTCGGGATGTAGAGAGTGACGGCAAGCTATTGGAGTCTCTGGAAGTGTCGGAAGCCGCAGAACGAGGCCAAGCATTGGCTCTTGAAGAACCTTCAATGACCGGAGTCGCCTGCGACCAACCGAATGTTGGTCCTAAAATACCCTCGTCTGGGCCGATCGACAGGTTATCAGAGAGAAGTAGTGGAGACCCAGCTAGGCTGGGCGATCGTCAACCTCCAGAGTTTGATGCATACTCTTCAAGGAAAAACAGAAGAAATGTTGCATTTTCTGTAGCTCCTTTTGTACCCTCCATTGGGAGGCCAACAAGGGCAGTTCACCAAGCACAGAAGGAAAAGGAAGAGCCAGTAAAAGTCAACATTGAAAGAAGCGAGCAAAGATCTGATGGCCAAGCGGAAGGTTCCGCTCCGAATTTCGGTAGACGCGTCTCCTTAGCACTACGCAGTGCATATTCCACCTTCAGCAGCATGGCACCATCTGGGAAGCAGCAGCCTGCTCAGCGGGAGGGGAGCAAAGATGCTCTACACGCCGCTGTGGGGTGGCTAAGAGGTCGGAGCTCTAGCGAGATTACGCAGGAACAAGAAGAAACGATAACTGAAACTGAAGAGAGTAAAGCAGGCAGTATATATGCTTCGCTCCACAACGACAAAATTGCGCGACTAGGGCGAGACACACAGCAATCAAAGACTCCAGTCGTTCACGTAGCTACTTCATCATTGGAATCTGAGGACATTCCAGTGGACGTAGCAGACCGCCAAGCTCTGGCCTTTGAGACCAAGAGGTGGGGGAGGCGTTTCACAGCCGTCAACACTCATGAGCCTCGAGCAGTCAGCACAGGACCAGCGCTTAATCCCTATCGTCGATCGCATCGAACAGAACAGTTCTCTGAGACGCAGGTACAACCAATACCGAAAAAGCAGTAATTCAATTCCTATTTGTGGCCGTAGCTAAGCAACTGAAACAGACTTCTATCGGTAGTATCGGTAGCTGACACTTCAGCGCCACAAGCTGCATAAGCAAGGACAGCAGCAGGAGTCCCTGGCGCAAAGGGTTTTTTGTTCGGGTCTGGAGGCAACTGTTTGATCAAGAATTGGCCATTGCCTACTTATGACAAGGTTGGGGAGGCTGTGCCTGGAGTGAAGAAAGCAGACCACTTTCTCCACGGGCAGCTGGGGAGGCTGCTGCTGTCCTTCCCGAAAGCTCAGCACCGTCAACAGCAGCAGGAGTGGTTGGAGCAGAGAATGGTGTTGTGTGTTGATGTATATTTTTCTCGAATGTTGATTCACCCATTTTAGATTTTCAGCCGTGTTGCCTCGGCCAAAAATCTGACTAGACGCGTGGCCAGCAACAATTTTTCCTGTTTTCTTCGCGAATTTCCTATCGAACTTTGGAAAGTTTCTGTGGCCCAATTAGTCCTTTTTTGTGTCCGGCGCGCCTACCGCTTTCTTTACCGCGCCCTCATTCCGTCTGGAGGTATACAATAGGTGCAGAGAAAGCTCTTGCAGCTCTCGCTGTAGCTCTTCAGAGCTGCCATTTGTCATATCGGCAGACTAACAAACGCAGGCACCTACCGTTACTTGTTCTCAAATTGAAGAAGCCTTAGATGCACGGCACTTTTACTTCTGTGCAGTATATAAGAAACTAAGAAATGTAGCACTTTCTGGTACGGAATATCACCTGCATTTGAAAAACTCACGTATGTCTTCACACTGCCTCATATGCGATACTGCACCCAAGAATGACTTGCAAACTTTCAGTTGTTCTAGTGAAGGGCGGCGAAACCAAAACGAACGACCGCAGTCCGAATCTTTGCCCTCTTGTGAGCCGCTTGGATACTGCAAAACTGCTGCTTATGTTTAGCTCCTGCGACGAAGCCACAAGAGAGCAAAACTTGTCAAAGCAGATGCCCTTGAGGGGCTGTTACGTCTGAACGTCACCTGAACAGCACTCTGACGGATATTTACATGTTATTGCCACCCTTCGTGATATTGTTGGAAAGCAAGAAAACAAGGCGATAGCGTGTAGCTTTTGCATCTGTTCGTTCTTTCACACGAGGTAGTGAACCTGCAGAGGCTACTGCTGCGTTGTCCTTGCTCCTAGCTATGTGTACTATTTGCTGCTTAAAACAACGCGCTTCAACTCGTGTGGTAGCCTAGAATTTTCTTTAACTGCTGCATGAACAGGAGGCAATTGGCATCCCTCTTGCCTCACGGGGAGGCAATGTTGTGGTGTCTTTTAACCTCAACCCCCGCACAACCATGTAGCTTTCAGCATCCAGGCGCCTTCGAGTTAGGATTATCTTAAAAGCAATTAAAGCGAAACTGATAACTTACTGCTTAGTTAATTCTCCCATTTTTGGAGTTTGCGCTAAGCTGCTGAGAGCAAAGTAGAAAATTCATTAATGTGCAGTTCACCATATTTTTTGCCAGTTTTCAGCCCTCACAAATTGATATGTACTCACCAGTCACCTGAGACACTGTTGTACAGGTGCCTGCTCCGATCTTTAGGAAGCTTGTACACTGCATCAATTATAATTAAGTTTTCGGCAGTATCCGCAGTTTTGCTTGCTTCGCAGCCCTGGGTGCGCTGACTAATCTACAGAGGCAGCTATAATCTTTGCGGTTGTGTTTCACGTAAGATCTAACATAAAACCTACGAAAATCTTCTTTTCTAGAGCTCGCTCATCTGCTACTAGAACTGCGATGAATAGCCGATCGATGCAACTATTGGGAAGCGATAGTATCCAGACAATGGCAATATACAAATCGAGAAAAGTTGTTAAGGTTTGGAAAATGAACAGAGGTGTCTTTAGGCGTGCCTATCGCTCAATGCGCCTCCAAATTAAGGCTCCTTTTAGCCGTCTGCTTCCCCAGATTCTCACGGCAAGGCCATTTCAAAATAGTCCTCGTGTATGGGCTACATATATATCGCTGTGCGCATCTAATTTTTCAGCCGCGGAAGAAACTTCTATCCACTTCGCTGGAGATTTGGAAACCCAGAACCGCGACTACAATTTTCGAGGCAGCTTTTCGAATCAGCATTTCCTACTCCAGATAAAGTTGATGTTGTTCTTACGTCGTCAGTGCTAATTATAAGAGTATTCCATATATGCCAGATCAAAAGACGTTGTTAGGCTTGAACGCAGCAGAATGCTTTGGGCAGATTGAGGAAAGACGATGAGTAGTCGGTGGAGGCTATGTGAACGTGCAGAGGGCCTCCAGAAGGGGACTCAGCAATGCATGTTATAAGTCCGCTAGGCAACTACGCCGAATATGCTGAAATTAGTAAGTTTGCACTTCGCGAGCCGTTGCAGCACCCGTGGACCGATGCTAGCACTGGCTTCCGGTAGGGGACACACTCGACTGGGTAACTCAAAACGGTCGCGATCATACAACTAATATTGTTTCCATTTACGGACAAAAATTCATTTAACTGGTAATTTTTGATTAGTACAACCTTGCTGCTCTGAAGAGCAGCTTGCGTCGTACGCCCGTTCCCAGGACGCATTGGCTGAGCGATTGCCCTGGCAGCTGCAGCGCTCTCAGTTCTCTACTCCCAATACAACCGGATTGAGCTTTTTCCGCTGCTTTCTTTGTTTATTTTGTGTAGAATTCGTTTATTGGGAGTCGTCAGATGAGAATTTTTGGAAGTAACCACCGTTCCGTCTCACTCCAGCGGCGAGTACGCCTTGCGGTAACGCTGGATGCTTAACACGTCGACCCCCCACTTATGACCGCAGTGGCGTTCGGCAGTTTGTGTGCTCTGCGGCCTAACCCGTTCACATTTGCACTAATTGTGGCTCCTCTTGTGGAGGGCCAGCTACGCGGACAGCTTTCCTCCTCGCCGGCAATACTATCCTGAGCGTCGAGGAGGGAGCTGGCGCAGAACTGTGGTCTTCTCAGCTTAACAGCTTTTTAACTTGCTGTGACTGGTTTGCTTCCACCAATGACCGTCCCTAGGCTCCTGCGACACGCCGCTACTGCGGCTTTGCTCGCTCTCGGAACCTTTCAGGGCCAATCCGATCCTAGCAACGTAGTCGGATTCCTGCGTACTAATTTGAGCTGCATTTGGGTCGTAGAAGCGAGCGGATCCAACAGCAACGAAACGAGTGGAGTGGGAAACGATTCTGAGAACGGTAGGAAAAGGGAAGAGGGAGGTGGTCCGGGTAGGAGCAAGAAAAACTCGTCGGGTGGTCTCGTGCCGGAGATCCCTGAAAATGGAGGTGACGCAGGACCTTCGGGGTCCAAAGGAAGTTCAGAAAATCGGGCAAGCGGTTTAAGAGGCGTTTCTTCGAATTCTCAGGGCAGCACTCCTGCATCTCAGCCAGAGAAGCCAAGTTTACAGAGCATTTTTGGCAACCTCTTCCAGAATTTCGGCTCGGACGAAGTATGTCGAATGGTTATAAGCTCACGTTGAGAGCAGCGCCATCACATATGCCCATTATAGCCATTAAAGGATGAGTGTAGATTCGCACCGTAATTGCCGTATCACGTGCTCGGTTCACAGGGGCCACTTTGCCTTGTGCTTTCACAGGAAGGTGGGCATCCTCTTGCTGAACAGGCGAGCGATGCGAAGGCTTTTAATGACCTCATCGACCGAATTTTTGTTCCCCGCCTGCAGACCGCGTAAGTCCAGCCTTACCCCTGTTCAGATTGTGTGTCTTGCCCTAGTAGCCCTATAAATCATCTGTGTTAGCTTCTTCTGTCTGCTTGATAGAGAGGAGGAGTGGTTGAGATTAGAGGTGGACTATTGGCGTTTGGTTGCTTCTTTGTGAAATTTGGCGCAGACCTAAATATCAGGGGGCTTTGGAATATATAAACGAGTCAATTTATCGTGACGTACTGAGGGGACCAAAGAAGGTCAAGGGCAACGTTCATCTATTGCAGCAGGCATACTCTGTCATTAATCATCCTGCGAAGATGTTAGATGTCCCCGAGTTGTTCGTGGAGCTGCGCGCTGCTGCGGATCGTCGGATTTGGGATCAAACCCGCCAACGGGAGAAGGCGCAGTATGAGAGAAAGGGAGACCCGGTCCCAAAGAGGTTCGAGATGTCTGCTGATGATGTGGTGGCGCTAGAAGCTGAAGAGCCTAGGGTGCGAGAGGAGGAGCTGTCGAACGCTGAACTGCAAGCTCGTATTCGCATGATAAACGGGTGGATGAAGGAGCAATTTCGTCTGCGCCTGTACTACAGCAAACGCACAGGCGCTTTGAAAGCAGACCCACAGGATCTGGTGGACACCTTCAACCCTGGCCCCAACGTTCAAGTAACAATTGAGGACATTATTGGTCTGAGCTACGAGGCGGAGCTTGAACCTGAGCCAGAATTTGAGAATTCTGGGGACCGACGGGCCCCTCATGGCGCAGAACTTTAATTTTTAAGATTCGCACAGCGTGCTGCTTTGGCTTACAGGGAGGAAACGGCTGTTGTTTTCCACTTTCCTCTGCAACTGCCGCATCAACAATCACAACCACGAAGTTTTGGCAGCTTGTCGGTGGACGCTGCAGATAAAAGACGGGGTAGATGCCCCGTTGTTTGAAAGGACAATTGTCTGAGGCCCATTTTGTCTCATGCCTTTCTGCCCCATGCACTTTTACGGGGACGGTTGCTGCAAATGTTAGCAACGCAGTGGCACGAAGTGACTTGCGGAGACGGCTTACTGGGTATTTGCTGTGACGAGGGCTTGAAGCAGCAGGCGATGTGATGCCAAGGAATCACGGTGCGCGCTGCTAGACGGAGAGTCATTCGGCACTAAACATTGGCGGGATTATGGATAGGTCTTTGTTCGGCATTTTCAGTTGCCATGTGAGGTTGACATTTTATATTTCTTGAAGTTTGGGTTCTGGTGCTGGATACGCGCGTGCTTCGGGAGCTCGCAACCTCAGTTCAGTGCTTCAGTGATTTAGGGGGCGTTCATTACCCCTCCCCAGCAGCAGTAGCAGAGTAGTGGGGAGACAAGTGCTGCATCGAAACCAAGGGAGTCACACTGGCTTTTGCCATATTGCCAGTAGTCTTCCAGCACTTAGCTTAGGGAAGCACGTGGGAACAGACGCCACACTTCTCGCTAGTTCAGCTCAGATGCGGCCGAAGCGGAACGCTAAAGCTTCGATCGTGTCAGCCCTCAACTGTAGACACTCTTGTGCGGCTTTCCTAGTCCGCCCAGTTAGGCGTGCGGCGAGCAATTTGAGTGTTGAACGAGTAACATGCCACAGGAAGCCACCTGCCGCTGGGGGGCAGCCAGCTCCTCGTGCGAACTTAGTGGGCGCAGTCCCCCAGTTGTAGAGTTTGTAGCCAGATTAACTGCTGGCAACTCTAGTACAACGGCGAGATGCCAAGAAGCAAGCACATTGGTTAACAGCGACTGCTGAAATGGAAGCAACGGAAATCTCGAACAAAGTGGTAGCCTTGCGAGAGCTGTCACCGTGATAAATTGCCTTGCGAGTGCCCAATAGCTGCGCGCAGCTAACTGCACACGTTGTGGGAAGCCCACGTCACTGTCCCCGGAAGCAGCGTAATACGAAGTGTGCAAGAACACTGTGACTTTGACGCTCTGATTCCGGCTGTTCGAATGTGCACGCGTACTGCAGTATATGGATCTCCTCATCTGGTGCTGTGCGCTACTGCAGCGTTCCATGCACAGCGGCTCTCCTGGAAGCTGCGCGATGCCACATCAGTTCCCCCTACGGTTCGCTTCGTAAAGCATATCGACTCTTCCTTGGGGCTTGCTTCTACGGCTCGATGGAGTGATTACGACGCTTGCGGTTCCTGCGAGCAGCCTCTGAAGTTGCGCAGTGCTGCTTCCGCCGACTGGCTATGCTAGAAGTCGCCCTGTTTCCATCGCCTTTGAGCGTTGCACTTCCGGATGTTCTGGCGACTTCGGGCTCTACCTCTTCCCAATCCGAACTCCCTTTACTTTTCTCGCATATCCGCTTCCTTCGCCAGCAGCTCCTACAAGCCTTCGACGCAATCTGCTTGATCCCGAACAGAACAAGATAAACGTGAAACCGCAGCTTCTCTATGAGCGAGGCGTCTCCCCTGTGCAGTTTCTGGTATCTGTCTACGAGACGCGCAAGGCGCTGTATGTCCTCAGAGTTCGAAGATTTCTCTGGATCCAAATCTCGTTCGCCTGCCATGGCAGCCAAAGCCTTGGCCACAGCATCCTTGTGGCGGTCATCAAACGAAGGCCCGCAGCCTGCTCCTTCAAACAAATTTAGCTGGGCTCTCGCATTTGCAGCATTGAACTTCTCGAACGCATCTCGGTTCTGTTCAATCTCGGGCTGCTCAACACGCTTCTGATGGCCAAAAAGATCAAGCCAGCCAATAAGCTTCCTCCCGAGAGAACCCAGAACGCTTGTTTTGCTCCTCGCTGTCTCTGTAGCTGTGGCTTCCACTGCCTCAGACCTCGGATCATGTTCCAGTTTGCGAAACATCCCCTTTACAAGCTTCTTTTCCTTGATGGCGTGAGTCGCCTTCAAGTGATTCAGCTGAGATCGCAATGATAATGCTAAAGGGCTCCCCGGAGAGACTGTAAGATACCGATTTACGGTAGCCAAAGCTCCATCAAAGTCACCCAACTCTTGCTGGGCCTGAACACCCTACAAAGGCAAAACAACTACATGTAATGAAAACGCATCCAAATATTCACGCAATATCCGCGCTTGTTTATCGCTGCATCCACAGAGCTACTGGATGCACCACAAACCATATTACAGGAGGGAAGCAATGCAACTAGTCAACAGATATGACCTGACGTGCGAAGAAGATCTACTTAGTTCCTCACCTGGGCTTTCCTGTACAGAGCCTTTAAGGCATTGGGGTCATTCTGCAGTGCTTTGTCACTGTACAAGATGCATGCAGCCCAGCGGCCCTCCTTGAGGCAGGAGAGCGACAGGTTTAGCAAGTACGACTGGTGCATCTACAGGAACGCACAAGACCAGAGATAATGCAATCAGCCTAATGTGTTTTGTTGTCGTGCGAATGTCTGTTTCACACACAGAGCTAGTGACACGGCGTCTGACAAGGGATGGCAAATATACACATGCATGTCGGCTTGTGCGTGAGGGGCATAGGGAAGAAGCCAGCACGGCATCCCGGGCTCTGTTCCGTTTGTAGTACGCAGGATTGTGGAGCATACAGCAGCGAACTCCCTTTTCTTGTCATCATCAAATTCGTCTTCTTTAGCCAATATATATTCAAGGGTGCGAAGGCCACGGCTCCAGGCGTCCGTCGCGCCTCGCCAATCCCCGGCTCTAAAGGCTCTTAGGCCTTCTTCTCGCACACTGTCCGTAGACTTGGAGCCTTTGTCGTCAGATGGGGTAGTATGGGAGGATTTCTCTCCCAGATCCTCCTGCTGATCCGGTAGTGAAGATGAAGAGCACAGCTCCTTATCGCTGTCGTGGCTTTTCGTGGTATCATCAAATGCGACTACGGATGGATCCATTTTGACAAACCAAATGAATTTGTCAGCGAACACAGAAATATGCAAGTGGAATGACAAGCTGCAGCGTCAACTACGCTGTATGTTCTTTTGGAGCCCGCGAATGAGATTTACCCCTATGCAAAGAAAGTAGCGCTACTCCAGAAAGCATAAAAGCCGCACCGGCAACAAATTGGTAGCTCAGCTGCTCCCCCAAAAAAAGCCAAGACAACGCCACGGAACAGAGGAAGTTTGCCGCGAATACTGCGACGCTGCTGCTTCCAGCTGATGGGGCAACCAATAAACACTTGACGTGAAAGTTGAGCATAAGGCCGTTGCAAGCAAGCATACAACCAAAAACCAGGGCGCGCAGAAGCAGGACAGAGAAAAAGAAGGAAACTGCTGCTCCTACGGGCACTCCTCCTGGGGTCTTTGCGATTCTGAGGTCGCAACGAGCGCCGGAGGTGGCGAGCAGCAGCGCCTTCCCCGTTTCTGTTAAAAGGGCTCCAAAGCTACCGGGATTCAGATCAAGGCGCGTAAATCCCTTTTCTGGGCCGCCGCACACAATTCCGTCGTCCACCGGAACGGGTTGAAAAAGCTTCTCCCGAAAAACGCTTGACAACTGCTGCAGTGGTTCGCCAGGGCTGAAGTCAAAAGCTAATTTTCCTATAACCGATGCGGCAGCAGCTAAGAAGCCCGTAAGTGCCACAAGCTGCAAGAAACGCAAAGGCTTGAATGCTGTGGTTGCAGCTGGCGAGCCAGTGGCGACTGTAGTATCAATGCCTGTATAACTGGTCTCGTTCAAATCACCAGGCGCTGAACATGAAGGATCGACGGTAGATCCTGCTTGTCTCGAGGTAGCTAGCGTCACCGTCTTCCCTCCACTACTCCTTAAAGTGCTGTCTGAGCTTTTCTCTACCATCGCTTCGTTCGGTGTAGCCCAAGCCGCGCTGCTGCGTTTCCAGCAGCTAGCAAACTAGAAACAATCAACCTAAACAATCCTTTTAATTCAAGTGTTCATTGGATGGGAGACCTCCAGGGTTTCAAAACTTAACACAGGCGGGCAACGAGACAGCATTAAACTAACAGGGGCTGCTGGGGCTGTGCGGGCTGCACAAGTCGTCGCTTTCTCGAGATGTATTTGATACCCCCTTCAAATTTATGGCACGAAATTTTAGTTCTTTATTTAACTGCAGCAACACTCTCTTCGGTAGGGAGTAAGAACTGACGCAGCTGACAACGGATTGATGTTCCGCACAGTTATTTCCATGTATCCAGCTTCAGCATTACAGTTTGAAAGTTCCGAAAGTCCGTCTAGGCGTCGCTTTTAAACATCACTTCTTCTCGTTGCCCAGTTTAAAACATAAAGTTCATTTCGTCAGAATATCATCTCACTGCTCCGGATACTCATATCAGTTGTTCGTAGTCAGGGCAGTCCACTTTGCGGCTGTTTGACTTTGTCGGTTTGGTCTTCCCTATCTCTTGCCATTTGTTGAAAATCACATATTCCAGTTAAATACACAGCATTATGGATGCCGACACTAGCTGCTTTGTTCTTTGCTCCTACGTCTTCGTTGCCATGTGGGGTGCATGTTTGATCTTTGAAGAATCTGCAGCTCTGTACGTTGATTTTATGCTCTCTGTTGCGCTGCATATCTAATACACATCTCTGCAGAGGAGTAATTCATCACCTCTTTAAATGGATAATGGGAATATGCTCCAAGGCAACACATAGCACCAGCCTTCCAGCTTTTGTTGCTCAGTCGGTTTGCTTTCGTTTGTACGCTAATCTTGCATGCGAAGGTGACAGCTTCTTAATGGTCAGGCAATGTTGGTCTTGTTTGATTCTGTAGGTGCCACCATGTATTAATTTGCCGTGAATTTCCCTGGTATCGTCCAGTGCCGGCTGCGGCACGCATGAGCTCCCACACTATAGGACTTCTCGGAGCGTCCCTTCCAATCTTGAGCAGTCTGAGATGCTGCTTGTTTCTATAAAGAGACTAAGGGTCGTCACCGCTAATTTCTTCACAATAGTTACCACTGCATTTCTTTATAAACTCATTCCCTTACGGGCGGACTTCCATCCACCCACCCTGTCCGGCTAGTCTCAACAATAAGAAAGGTATAGTAATCCGAAGTTCTCAGGGCGTTTTTGTCTTGAGGCTGTTTTTCTTACGTGTCAGAACGTAGGTCAAGGAGGAGGCAGCTGTTGAAGATGCGATAACTGTGGGCATGAGAGCCAGCAAACCAATAGGGATGTGCGCAAGACCCTAGCTATCGGCTTCAGCAGAGTACTCAGCATTGCCTTGACCCTGAACTGGGTCTGTCTTGTGTGACCGGCGCCTTCTGCGTAGTCCCTCTTTCATGGAACAGCGAGTTTGGGAGTGACCGCCGATTGGCGGTTGACTCCGCAGTCAACCAAGCTTTCCAACCATAAGCTATCTAATGATATATATACGGCGGTACGAATCCTGTGTACGCGTAGGGAAATGACTGCGCAAAGAAGGATAGAGACCCTATGTCGCAGCAACGATCGTAGGTATGGTTACGTCTTCGATGAGGGAAGCAAACTCCCTACAATAGCTACCTTAACAACCCTACCTGTCGATTCGCCTAGAAGACAATGGCATTAAAGTCGCAAGCCGCGTCCATTCAACCCCAGTGAACGCTATTTAACAACTGAACTTCTTGCTGAAAATTTGCAATCAGGACCGGTGTCGAATAGCACATTTGAGTGAGATTCTACTCTAATCTTGAAAAAAATACCTATAAAAAGACTTTAAAAGTTGCAAGGCCTACCCGTTTGATAATAAAATGAGGCGTATATCTCATTAACAGTCCCTTATTAGCAAGCGGCGAACACTACCTCGGGAACGCTACTCACAAATTTCACATTAAGGACTGTATCAACGGAAACTGATGCGTTTCGTGCATAGAAGAGCAACAATGGTAAGGCAAACGCTGTGGAGCCGGCTCATCATGGTACTCAAGCAGATCCCTGCGATTGTATAGCTAGATAACATACGTGCTTTTATTTTGCTATCTCGTGCCTGGAATGTGTCTATTCCTCTCGAGAGGAATAGACACATTCCAGAGACGAGATTATACCGCTAGATTAGCGCGAACACTTGCGGCTGGAAGGGCAGAACACTTACTGAGTTCATGTAAGTGAAGAAGCGAATGTGAAACTATGAAAGGTAATGCTGGGGCAGTTGAAGGGTGAAGCAGCAAAGTTTCTGAGGGAAAACAGGAAAGCTGACCCTCAGAAGTAGTGCAGCTCCGTAAGGAGCCAAGTGCGAACTTTGGCTACACCTGAAACACACGACACCTAAAGTACCAATAGAGGAAGCCAATGGTTTGCTCAGCACAGTACCAACACAGCAAATTGGGCACTTCAACTCTTCTATTATAGCGCCACTTCTAAGCCAAATCACGCATTACTCAATCGCTGCCTGCACGAAACGCTGCCCAGGGGTGTAGCTCTGTCCCAGTTGCAAGGCCAAAGGCACTGTCTGCACCCTACTTATATTTTAAGAAAAAACTGACGCAAGCAAGGCTTGAGCGCAATTTCGCGGAAAGCGCCACAATGTAATGCGGCTGGCTGAACGTTTCACCTAGCTCTTCGGGACCAGGGAAGGATGGAAAAGCACAATAGCCACAAGGGTTCCAAAAATGACCAGATCAACTACAAATAGCGTTTCGAGCATTGCGGAGCGTGTTTCAGAGCGAAGACAGCGCTGTAACCAAATCTCATATCTGTCTAGGGAATGTGAAGACGCCTGACACAGCGACCCCAAAACAACCGTGAGTGATGCATTCCAAAAGATGAGCTTTTGAAATACGCGAAGGTCGATTTAAAATATTTTGTTGGTTCATTATAGCCCAACACAACGTGCAATCGTAGGCGGCTCTCTCGCCTAGCCCCACTATGGTACCAACAGGCGATCGGCAGATGCAGGGTGACGGTTTGCAGCCAATCTTCAGACGTTTCCTTTTACCCGTTGTCGCGCATTTAGGCAGGATTTTCTGTGAGCTTATACTATTCCACTGGTCTACCTGACCTAGTGGGATGACGCTACCGGCCGCAACTACACAGCTCTGGAAGTTGCAGTTGGTAGGGATTTTGGTGTTGTTAGCGGCACAAAGCACTGTTCGCTCCTCCGCTTTTCGTGCTTTTGGATCGCTGGCTTGTGAGAAAAGGATTTTTCGTCCAAATTTGACGGCGCCTACTGCAGTTCGGTGGCCTGTGAGGGCTGAGACACCTCGCCAAAGGGCACCGTTGGAGACTTCTGCACGCAGGTCTGTACTAGTGCGTCTTCTCTCGTGTTCCTGCCTGACACGCTATCCATTGATACGGCCAAGCTCTGTTGGATCAGCGGGGCTCGGTTTACAGGGTGCCAGCAGCGATAAAGGCGTACACACTGCCGTGAAGATGCCTGTTGTGCTTTCACCGGGTGACACTATTGGTGGAGAGGGGCTTCATTGGTGCCCCAGCAAGGCAACTGGGACTTTGATTTTCATGCATGGTCTGGGAGACACTGCGGGGGGATGGAGTGAACTACTTCAGCTTTTTGAGGCTGCTCAAATTCATGAGAAGGCACGCCTCATTCTGCCCACGGCCCCGACGCGCCCCGTCACGCTTAATATGGGTGTCCGCATGACGGCATGGAGTGATATAAGGGGTCTTTCTGCAGACTCTAGTGAGGATAAGGATGGTCTCATGGCCAGCAAAGCCCGGATCGACAGAATCATTGATTCAGAGATCAAAGCAGGCATCCACCCTTCAAGAATCCTGGTTGGCGGGTTCAGCCAGGGTGGAGCTCTTGCGTATTTGGTAGGCCTCACATCTCCACACAAGCTGGGTGGTATACTTGCGCTTTCTTCGTGGTGCCCACTCGGCAAGGAGATCCAAGTTTCCCCGCATTATGCCCAGGCTGTTCCTCGCATCCTGCACTGTCATGGTGCTGTAGATGACATAGTTCGTCCGATATACGGACAGACAAGCGTGGAGAGCGTGAGAAATAGGCTAATAGATTCGGGGGCTAGGCCTGAGAAGTGCCAGGATGACATTACATTCAAGCTGTACGAGGGGCTGGGGCATTCAGCAAATCAGCAAGAGCTCAACGACATCAAGGTGTTCCTTTCACGCGTATTCAACGCAAAGTAAATCATGGCGATTTATGCAGGTATGGACTTCGCTGGGGAGTTCCACTGTTCATATTTCAGTGGTAACTCGTCAGGTGCTACTCTGCACAACGTGGCTCCCGAAAGCCTTCTGACGCTTCTAGGCGCAGGCAAACAAGCAGAGTTCTACCGGAGCCATTCGTTCGTTTATACTCGTAACTTCTGTGGCGATACGGACAACTGAAGCTTCCAAGATTCCAAGCTTTGGCGCATGAACAGGTAGTAACCATACACCAAGTGGACTGCGCTGGTCATGCTTGTGTATACTATTACATAGAAGAGGGGATAGTACTGTACATGACGGTTTAGCAGGGGCCGCTGTACATGGTGGCTTGGCAGGGGCTACTTCTTGTACATGGCGGCTCGGCAGAGGCTTCTGTACTCGGTGGCTTGGCAGAAGCTGCTGTTCATGATAGCATTGCACAGGAGCCAAGAAGCTTGTGCTTTGGGACATGACGGCTCAAATGGAACCGAGAAGAACATTCTTTACGCTGTATAGCTAGCTAGCTTGAGCAACGGACAGTCCCAGTTTGCCTAAGATATCCATCCTGGTGTTATAATTTGGATGGGAATTGTCAGAGGCATGCTTGTTGATGCGCGGACCTTTTTGGGGTCCTTCTTAACAAGTACAGAGTCCGTTTTTCATTCCTGAAGTGGCGGGTGCCGGGAGCTGATGCGGCGAGGCCACTCTAGGCAAGTGGCGTTTTCATACGATGCCGTTTATGGAAAAGGCTTTTGCACTTAGGTTGATGTAGAAGAATAGCAGATTGGTGACGCATCAGCTAGGTTGGTAGTCATTTGGCTGTGGGGAGTCGTCACGATTGCCGCGTTGCTCGGCCACGCCAGCACCTCGCAACAGAGAAGAGCGTGGAATTCCTTAGCGTGTAGCGCCGTTGATGTGAAATGACTTGAGGCTTGTAAAGGGGTCGGTTTTCCTGTAGGATCTAGCAGATATGTGTTACAGTTATACCCAGACATCAACTCTCCAGAAAGGCCATCGTCGGGCCCCACAATCTAGTGAAGTTCCAGAGCGTTCACTAGTTCGTTGGTGATCAGGGAAAGAAAATTAAAAAGAAAAACGCTCGGAATTCACGAAACGGGAATTCTTCTATTGGAAATCGATGCAGATATGTCAGTTCCGGCACGATAATGATGCACTGCAGCTGCAGCAACAGGGACCACGGAGTAACGAGATATCTTGTGTTACCTCCTCCTCCACCAGACGAGGATGAAACACGTGAGACATTTCGGACCTCTCTCTTCAGATACCTTGGACTTGAAATTCAGACTGTGAACGACCCCAGTCCATCCTCCTCTCTCGAGGAGGTAGGGTCGCTCTCCCCGTGTACAAATGGACCTAAGGAAAAAACAAAGGAGCTCCGGCTGCTAAGAATATGCACCTGCCTCTGTGATTGGTGTGTGCGGGTGTCCTGTGGAGCGTGGCTCGACGCGCTTCGAGTCAACAATGCCTCAGATAGTGATCTCTACTTCTTCGAGGGTCACCTACGGAGAGCACCAAAAACAGATAAGAATGGTGCAGACAGAAGGGGCTCTGAAAGTAGAAAGGGTGGGAAGAGCGTAACCTGCTACCGACTGGCTGAAGGGAGAGAAAAGGAGAGTAGAGAAGATGCATGGGGCCTTCTCGCGGGATGTGTAATGCCCTTTAGTTACCGGCACTGCTTAGGGATTATGCAAAAGCCCTTTAGGGTGATGCTGAAAAATCATCAGGATCAGTGGACGGCCAACGATGAGGAAACAAAAGCCGTCACTGCTCGCTACGCAGCCCAGGCCCGCCGGCTGTTTTCTCTCTTCTGCTCCCCGGCAAATACTATTAGGAGCTACACTCCACATGAGGGTCAAACTGCCACGTTTCGCTCTTCAGCTGCTGAGATTGGGGCATATATCCACCCAGGGGTTAAGGTTGCCCACTTTGATGGCGAAGGGAGAGGCCTTGTGGCGGCAGAAGATCTACGGCAAGGAGATCTACTGCTACGCTTGCCGGCTTCTGCTCTGCTCAATGTGTACACTGCCCTCGCACACCCCACTTTCTCACCCCTTGCTCAGGTGTTGCTGGGTCTTCCACCCGAACATTTGAAGCCACAGTCTGCTGAAGTGGCTCCTGGGACTGCAAAGCAGAGGCAAGAACCAGGCCATCATAAAGAGCAGCCAATAGAGGTACAGCCCCTTGTTGACTGCGATGTAGTCGTGTGCCTTTTCCTTTTATTTCTCGCGTTCACATCTGGCGAAGAAGGGGGCAGGGCTCTCCTGCGTTTTCTCCCACCTGCTGGCTCGGCTGATGCTGCTGCTACAGCAGAGGCCCTCTACAGGTGTGCAGCTGCGGCGAAGGCTGCAGAGAATGGGACAACGGAGGAGGCAATGTTCTTGAATGACGCTGAAAAAGTCGCAGAGTTCCTTGGGGATGCTGCTTTGACGGATGCCGTTAACCGTACCCTGGCAAAGTGCCGCATGATGGAACAGGAGCTGGTCCCGCTTCTGCAGCAGACCTTTCCTCCCATTTCAGGAGAGGAGCGACGAGGTGTACTTGCTGCCTGCAGAGCAGCAGCAACAGCAGGTTTGGCGGATTCGAAGGACTCGCTATCTGTGTCTTCCCTACCAGCCGGTGCAGTGGCCGCAGCTGCTGAAGTTGCAGCGGCCTCGCGAACAATGCTTGCACCCGCTTTGAAGGGCACGGACTTACTTAGGGTGTTTCTAGGTGAGCTGAGCTACGAAGACTTCCTGTGGGCTCATTTTGTTCTCGATTCACGTTCGTTTTCTCTGCCTGTGGAGCCCGAGGGCCTGCTTGATCAAGTTTGCCTTGTAGAAGACCACTCCTCACGGCCCTGTCCAAATTTGGAGGCCAATAAAACTCAGGACGAGGGAGACGAAGAATCACAGGAAACTTTTTCTGTGCCTTTTCTTCCGGAGGTGAATGAAGTGGCTCCAGTTAAAGATTCGCACCCTGTTTTTCTACAACCGGGAGCTTCGGGAGGCGCAGCGAGACCTTTTTTCGTTCGTGTCCCAGCCCGTTGCACCTCTCTCGTTCCTCTTGGAGAGCTGCTCAACCATCACTATCACGGGCAAGTGTTGTCTCCTGCATTCGAGGGCGATGAACACTCGCTTTGCTTACGCCTGGCATGCGACGTACCGGCCGGCGCTCAGATATACGCACACTATGGGCCCCTTCAGTCATGGCAGTTTCTGGCATATTTCGGTTTCTGCCCCCGTTCGTTTCTTGTCTTACAACCGAACCAAAAGAATACGCAGGTTCGCCTGCAGGCAGAGCCACAGGAAGCAACTGCGGAGAACGAATGGCTGTTTACAGGAGAAAGCGCCGGTGAGCTGCGCTTAGCCCACAACTGCTCTGTGCTGTATTGTCCTAAAGCAGCAGCTATAAGCAGTACAAATTTTCTTAAGCCGCTTTTGCTACTGAAAACTTTTGATCCCAATAGGATTGTCTCTAAGTGAGTTTAGGGCATTATGGTGGTAGTAGTTTGCTTGCAGGCAACCCAATGGATTTCCTAACAATACAGGTTGAGGTTCCTGAGGACGATGCGGAACATGGGCTAAAAAGTGGACTCATAGAGCTACACAGATTGCCTTATTGCGGCCTCTTTTGCACCGGAATCGAAAGCGTCTCGTGGAAGTTCCTAGCCTCCCTTTTTGTTAGCTCTCACGTCTCCCTGGATGACTTTATACTTTCTGGAGGAAACGGGGGCTCTGCGGGACCGGCAACGGCCGCTTTGGAGGCAGACGAGAAGGTGTGGGGCCCTACGTACGTCTTTACTGCCCTTCGGAATGACCCTGATGCAGCTGAAAGGGTCCATGGTATTATCGCAGAAGCTTTGGAATCGGTTGCCAATTCAGCTCAGACGCGTAAGTTTGGAATTTTTTGTGTACTGATGTTGAGCTGCGCCCTGCGGGAAAAACGGAGAAGACTGCTCAGCTTATAGTGATCCTCTTAAGCTAGCTTCAGCTACTAGCAGTTGTGCCCCTGAATCTCCGCTTTCCTCGGCTCCGTTCTTTGGTGCAGGACTCACTCAGCTCGACGAATGGATGAAGACTCCGGAAGTGGCTCCTGCATGGACGGAGCTCTGGGGAGATACGCTTCGCACATTTTTGCACAACCAGATAGCTCTTGCAAACACACAAATGACGGCACTTGCCAAGTGTATCCCTACGGATACCGAGCATAAAGCTACAGTCCAGAACACGGGTATTTGATTTGGTGATAGGACATGATTAAACACGTACCGTCTCCCAAAGCTGTTGAGCTGCTCGGACGGACATCATTGGGAAACTTTAATAGGGTCACTGCTGCGCGCACTTCAGTAGCGCTTTCGTTAGACGCATGACGCTTCGGAGTGTCATTGAACCAAACGAAATTCTCCTTGTTTTGGATTTTCCCCACCATATTTGGAGCAAGAAGAGGTACAATGCGTTGCCTTCACAGGGAAAAAGAACCTTCTCTTTCCACCGGAGACCCTGTCCACAGAGGTGGAAAATCATAGTGGGATCATTCCCTGCGCTTTGCAGATGCGCTGCGAAATATAAAGGGGCCGACAATGCATCGAGTGATGAAAGGGGATGCTGGCTGAATGAGTACAGCGGCCAGAGCTAACCCTTCTCTGATGCTCGTGTCTTTTTGGTCTTCCTGGTGTCACTGCATTTTGCTTACATAGGCAGTATTGGACAGTTAACATTGTAATTTGTATGGCCAGAACTGCTGGTGATTGTTTTACTTCCTCCGCACAATAATAGATATGAGCACTCCAGCCTTCCCTTAGCAGCATTGACCTCGTTGTCGAATGCGCCCTCCATCGTTTAGCGGAAGCGGAATTTGAACTTTTGCGAATGCTTGAGTAGGCCAAACTCAATGCATCAAACGTAAACAGTTATGCAGGCGATAGCTAGCGCTTAGTATGCAGCTGACAGCTACCGGTAATCATCGTGGCTCCGGTTCAGCAAAGCGACAACAACAAACCTCTGCGGCCTAGGGAGCTGCCCCGCCGATCAGTGGTGAATCAAACTTGCGTCAACGTATCCATCAGCTAGTCTTCGTAGGAGCAAATGGCCGTTAACAGTTCGCTGCCTTTCACGCAGGTTCACGCCTCTGCTGCAGCCGCTAGAAGTGTTCAAGCGTGCTCACAGTGCATTAGCCCTTACTTTACTTTGCCCGATAGAAAACTCGGCGAAAACTGAGGTGCCAGTAGTAGCACGCAACCCCTAAAAGTATCGGACAACTGGCCAAGGTCGCCTCCAAGAGGCTGGCTCGGCACTATTCAAGTCTTCATTGCTGTTATCACTGACGGCTCCCGTGGCACTCTCCCTGCAATTTGTCATGTCTTGGTAGGTTTCTCAGGCTGATCGGTTTACTACATGCCTTGCTCATCTCTCCCACGCACGGATGGCCGAGTGGTCTAAGGCGCCAGACTCAAGTTCTGGTGGACTCACGTCCGCGTGGGTTCAAATCCCACTTCGTGCATTTTCTTTGTTCTTTCTCGCCGATTTTTCCCAGGTTTATTCTAACCCTGCAGTAGCCTCGGTGACGCGATAGTGATGCAGAAAGTGTCGCACGCTTTCGTTCTCGACTATGGAGGGGAAAGCAATGCCACCTCGCTCTCTATACCTAGCGTTACTTGCTAATGGGAGTCCTGTACTCTGTCAACCTATTGACTATGCAAAGTAGCCCAACTCGTAGGACCATGCACATGTTGGCAATCTTCGTAGGACCATGCATATGTTGGCAATCTTCGAAGTTAAGACAAAGAAAAGAATGGCAGTTCACCGAACCCGGTAAACTCGCCAAATCTGTAATGCAAGATCTCGAATGCGTTGACACCTCCGCATACGTGTTTCACTCGGTCGTCTCTACACTGTCCCACGACCCGTCAAAAATGTACCAAAATGGGCTTTATGGCTGCAGCTGATACACATCCCTCTAGAGCAATATGCAGTTGCAATGTCTACTTCTTGTGAGCCTCAGAAAGGAGGTTATCCAAACCAAACGGATCGGAAACATCCTGCAGCGCACCAAAAATACGTGAAACGCATAGTCGTCAGTTCTGCTTACGTCATGGGGCGAAAAAACGTGCAGATCATGCAGCGCGCCATTTCATTGGGCGATGTGCTCCCTCCTGAATATCCCAGTTTCTTAGCAAGGAACGCACTGGCACCAACACGTACCTTTTCGAATTCTACTGGACCTGTCCTCATGTACCGCGTCTTATCCGCACCAGCAAAAGCAGCAAGCTCGGAGCCTTCCCTGTTACCACACGTACAAAGCGTCAATCACACTTCATTTTTCAATTACTACATTTGACACCTCTTAGCATCTCGATGCTCGTCGTTGCTTGCTCATTGCCACCCATTACCATCCGACGTACTAAGACGACTGGCAAACAGATGAGGAACGGCTAAGCCTAACCCGCACTACTGGAAGCATTTAGACTGGTTAGTACTTCTGCCACCAAACACTGAAAGAGCTAAAAAGGCATCAAACCAAATCCCTGGGCGCGAAATCATCTTCTTACCCAACAGAAGTGGAAAACCGGTCGCGGCTGAACTGATAGATGCCAGCGCCGCCGCGCTGTGCGAAGAGAGGACGATCGTACAATGTATCCGTGTCGTCTTCTCCCCCCTTGTAACCCTAGAGTGCACAAACGCAACATCGCACTAATGCCCACCAATGCAAGGCCAGTTAGATAAGAAAGGAGGAATGCGTGAAGCTATGACTCGACGTGGTATGAAGCTCCCTCAGCGCACTGAGTCTGTCCCTCCTCCTTGGTTGAAGAGTCGAGTGTCAAACATGGAGTCCGTCCTCTGTTTCTTCGCGTCCACTGGTAAACCCAGCGCCACAAGTTCACTGATATCACGCTGTGAATCATCGCGACGCTTGCCTCTGCTTCTCTGCCAGACAACACCACAAAAGAAAGCTCGCCAAGGGTTCAATAGCGTATTTTTACCAAAAAGGCACTTGCAAAACATGCACCGGCGGTAGAGTTGTGCCCTCCAGTGAATCTATCATGACTGCAGCGCTGGGTCAACAGATCTACCAGGCAATGCCTAACAATAATTGTCTGGCACTGCCGAGAATCCCACGACTATCTGATTTAAATGTCCCTCTACACCATGAAAGCGTTCGACAGTAGGAAACATGAACAGGCGCTGCAACACGTATAAGCCCGTTCAGAATTTACTGCCCTGCGTTATATACTATACGGCATCGAATACATAGGCTCAGACTAATGATGGATCCTGGGATCGTTCAACTGATAAACCATACCTCGAGGCGAACAGCACGTTCAATGTCCTTCTCTCTCTCTCTCGCAATCTGTTCTCTTTGCTGTCTTTCCGCTTCCTCCTCTGCATCGCCGGCGGCAGCACGCCTAGACTGTTGAAGCAGTTGGGCTCTGTACAAAAAGCATCAGAGAGTAATTACACAGTAGTTCACATCCATCAACGAGATGCGTAGAAAGAGCCGATGGGATTCCTGCCACTGCACGCAGGCGAAATGGCATTGCACGCTGATAGCTGCCGGGCCCTCGCAAGGAAGATTGGCACGGGGCCAAGTACAAACAAGAGAGCAACCTTGACAAGGAAAAAAACCACCACTACACGGCGTAGTGGCCTAGAGCAGCTTGCGCATGAGACATCCACACGAACACGATAGCCGCCGTGTTATCATTAGTCATATTAGAAGCACTCGTGTGGGGAACCAAAAATAAATAGACACTTCTGTACGTCCACAACTGCGTGCGCGTCAACAATTGCAAGAGAACACATATCTAACCTCTCCGCCCTGGCTTGTGCGGCAAGCTGTCTAAGTTGCTGTTCTCTGAGTTCTTCCTCGCGGATTTTCTTCTGCTTCTTCACTTCATTTCGAAGACGAATTTCTTCTCTCGCTTGGCGCTCGGCAATGTACAGAGCCTCTGAAAGGGACGCGAATTTGTCATTCACCGACACCTGCAGCAAGCAGGGACCAAAACCTCTGATTTACTCGTCTTCTGCGTCATAAAACGAATAGTTGCCAATTGCGTGGCAGGGAAAGCCCTCCCACAAACAACAGATTTATAGAGTGGCTCACGAACTTTAGGCAGCGATGTACCCTCAGTCCGTTATTCCGTTTGGCACGTTATACATCATCGGAAAAATGCGGCATGCGTGGCTCCAGCTCGTTTTATGAGATGTCACAGGCACTTACATCCTGGAGGTTCCGGCCGTCAGCAGCAACGCGCTTATCAAGAGGAATGGTGTACCCCTTCTGGTTTTTCCAATTGCTGACGCAAGGCGGGATCTTCCAATCCTGCTGGTCCTGAAGAGTGAGCTTTCCTGAAGCCAAACAAGTCGCATACTTTTCAGAGTGCTGAAGAAGTCGTTGGCCTCCTGTGCAAGAGGATCAGCATCCTCGCTTCTACCCACGCTCTAAATGGTGTGAGCGGTAAACAACACAAAATACAAGCAAGCTTCCTCTAAAGAATGAGCGAAAGGAGCAAGGACGGGATGAGAAACACCGGGAAATTGCAAGAGAACCACGGAAAGATCAGTCCTACGTGTAGGGGAATGGAGGACGGGAGGAGGTGGGGAAAATCGGGCTGCAGGTACGCGCTTGTGCTTAAACCGAGGAGGGTCCAACGGGTCAACTGCTACATCTTCAAGACGCAGCAGTCGCTGTGCACAGCCACTGTTGTGGCCCTCAACCTGACAGCATGCCGGAACTCATGAGGCACCAAGTATTGCTGCACAAAGAGGCTTCAGTCGGGTGAGAAAACCAATAAAGAAGCATTTATCTATTCAGCATACTTAGTCATAATATGTAAAAATTCCTTACCAATTTCGCAGGAGTGTACCGCACGAACTCGGCCTCCCTCTGCTGTGGCTGGGCGCGGCCAGCGTTGCTCTTCTTTTCCAGCTCCTTCTCAATCGCCTGTTTCGTCCTTTGAAGCTCTTTTTCCTCTTCTTCTTTGCCCGGACGTTCACGGGCCATTGCTGCTTCCAGTGCAGCCTCGGGGCCCTGCATTTGAAGGCCGTGTGCGCTTTCCGGCCGGGTGTAAACCACAGTCTTCTTCGAGCCATGACGCACTACCAGGTCATATGCAAGTCGCCCGTCTGGCCCCACTTGCAGCGAAAGAGTTGAACCCGAGGAGGCATTCTGCGACAAACGACAGGATGAATCGGCTGCCTGGCTCGGCATTTGTAGCTCTCTTACGAGCCTGGAAGAGCACAGAATTTCAAGAGCTCGAAGAGCAGCTCCTTGCCAGTTACTCTACATATTCATAAATAACTGCAGCAAACACAGCCTTTAGCGAGCCTGGCGCGTCCTTTGCTCTACTCACATCAGACTCCTTGCCCATGCCTAGCGGGTATTGCGCCACAAATATCTCTGGGTAGGCGCCGCCGCCACCAAAGTCCTCTTCACATCGTGGAATGAAGCCCTGGCGATGCAAGTATGGCGGGATCTCTCTCGCAGGGGCTTTTTGGCTCTTCTGCAATCGTGACTGCGCCCCCGGCATTGTGTAGGCAGCAAGAGTGGAGTCCGCAACAGTCAGACCCCCCGAGCGGGGGGCCGGCAGCTTTCTGCAAAAAGCATAAGTGAATTCGCAGCAAATGTCACTCTTCATTACAGTTAGTTTAGATAGAAAGTGGCAGCAGCGTGTCTACGCGGGCAAGGGGGCGATAGATAACTCCGCATGCAAGAAGGACGCAACATACGTGAGGAAGTCCGTCATATTCTGCCACACAGCTAGATCAACTCCACGATCCAGATCCTTCTGCGCAATGGGCCTGAAAGGCCCGAGGCCTGCCCTTCCTGAGCGGCGGGTACTCCTGCAAACTCCGCCGTCCCAGATCCCCTTGAAGGGCACCAGCAGCTGTGCAGCCGTTGCTACTTTGCTGCTGTCACCTCGGACTAAGTTAAAGTCCACCCGCTACGCAATAAGGCCTGTGAAGAAAACTGGTCGCCTTCCTTTCCAATAGCGAAACTGGTAATAGTGATGCATGCGCGGAGAGCAAGGGCAGGTAACGCAGTCCTAAGGCTTTCAAAGACTTATATGAGACCAAATCTGAAAGTATAATAAAATTAAAAAGCAAGGGCACTCTGTGCCAAAAGCTCGCTCATAAGGAGGTTGAACCCTGCAGAGCAGTTTTCAACGCCTCGATGCGCACTAACAAGGATTTATGTACTCTCTGGCTGAAGTTATAGGGAACCTACACCTAACAGCAACAGAAAGTTACTGGACAAACAATTCCGCACAAAATTCTGAATCTCTGCTCTTAGCAGCCCTACATGTAAATCAGCCCCATGTGACCGTACTGGGACTCCATCGTGGTGTACATGTTGATTTGGTTTAGTGGAAATACTGCGGTTGAATTTGATTTTTTGAATACAAAACTACAAATCTATGGCTTGGGATTTCTCACGAGCTGAGAAGATCTGGCGTAGAAGTGTCATCACCGCTGCCTGAGAGAACTGGTCTGTGCTGCTGTTACTTCCAGCCTGCCAGGCACAGTTATGCATATGAGTAAGTCAAGCTCTTCTGTAGAGTGCTTCCACATGCGAGAGTATTCCTCTCGATGAATTCTTTGCCAGAGAAGATGCTTGTTGCTACTCCTCTGTTCGTCCCGCAGCTTCCTGTTTGGATAACTGGTGCTACGCTCTGTCCATAGCGAGCAAAGCTGCATTTAGTTGTACGGAAACAATTGCTGGACACTATGCCTAGAATTTTACCCATCTAATGCATCCCAACATAAATTCTTGAGCCATTGGTTTCGCCAAGTTACAAAACGCTCATCGTAGTGCTGTAACTGTTAACCAGGGTGACTTTGCAACCGAGCTTATTTAGAGAGAATGCGTGTTTTATTTTGATGTCTAAGGAGCGGTTGTCCCAGATATTCGGCAGCCCAAGCGCAGCCACTATGCTTCAGCCAATCTTCGTGTGTCCGTTGGCAGTACCGTTTTGAAGCCTCCTCTAAATTTCGCACTTTGTCGGCGTATCACGACGAAGCCCCCGATAACTTTTGGAGGGAATGGCTTGCTTCCCTTTTAGCACGATTGCTCACGGCTTACGAGGTGCAAGCTCGTAATCCGAGAACAATCGTGCTAAAAACGTGCTAAAAAGGAAGCAAACTTTGTCACTCCTAGTCTAAATTGCGCAGCTACACAAGGGAGCTGAGGTTATCTACCTCTAGTGTCCTGGCCTGCCCTCAAGCTTCTTCAGGAGTAGCCTTTCAATGTGCTCACTCCTTCACAGCACCTTACCAGTGCACCAGACGATATTAAATATGCACTGGGAAGTCCCCATTATAAAGTGTTGACCGAGACAATCATTAGAGCCGGACTCTAGAGAGTTTTCCGGGATGTTTAAATGCTTACTCGCACAGCATTGGCTCTCAAGGGTCCTTGCTAATTTTCTCTAGTGCTTGACGGCGTTGCTGTGGACTGCACAGCTACACATGTGATTATGTAACAGTTACTTGTCTTGAGTGATTCGAAAGAAAGGGAATGCAGTTGCAGCGTGGTCTACACCTGTAGTTCCAGAAGCCCTGGTGATCCATTCTTAGCTAGCACTGCGTAGCTTTAGACATCAGGACCACTTTCGAGCGCTTGTTCATCATTGACGGATGCAGTATTCATCGCGCTTTATTCTGCTTTTGTTGTGTTTCGGAAAGTTCCTAGCAGTCAACTCTGCATTGACACGATCAAGCCATGGCCATTCGATTTAATATGTAGGAGCCTCGTTTGCAGCTCTTGAAGTTGCCACAAAATCGAACAACTGGAATACACACGGCTCTCCGTTGGAATTATGTGCTCTGGGCAGCTATAAGTCGAATAAAAATAATGTTCAGGGAAGTGTGAGGACACCATTACGCAGGCAGTGGAGTGACAAATGCACTTAGTCCAGAGAAGATCCAGTGCAAGATCTGACGTCAGCTTGCTAACGATCAAAGCACTACTGTTGAGAGGTAATAGAGCGAGATATGATGGGTCAGACGGCACTGTGCTAGCGCTCCGTCTTTACCACAGATCCACAGGTGTCCAGTAACTTTTCGATTCCCGGTGCGCAGCTCAAAAGCTTTTCTTATGCATAACAAAACACTTCTCAGTAAGTGATGATATACATTTAGCTCGCTTCTTTTCGTGATGTCGAATTGGGGGAAAACGCAGTCAGCCAACAGTGAACTAGCGCCCGACAGTCCTGGGTTGCGTTCACTCCAGCGAGAACAACATGGCGAGCAACCTACTTCGTTTCCTACAAAAGTGTCCGTTGCCTAAAGCAGTTGAATCGTTGGCTCTTAAAAGGCAGTTTATGGCACTTTTTCACGCGTCAAGCAGAAGTTGCTCATAGTAGTGCTCTGCAAAACATTTCGAGTTGGAGAGAAGTTTGCCACTCATTGATAGCTGTTTGCTATCCTTCTATCGACAAACAGAAGCCATATGTGCTGTGCGTTTCGAGACAACCTGGGCATGCAAAGGGTCCACTGGTAGGGTTGCCTACTCCCAGCGGTCCTTGCGAGTGGGTCTGCTAAAGTGAGCAATGTACTCTTCACTTCATTATCTCAAAATGGTACTCATGTGCACCTCCCCATATCTTTGAAATGCTGAGACATGCGCTGGATATACAGGCATTCCGTGTTTTGCTAAAATTCTACCTGCTCTGAGTACAACTGCACTGTGTGCGACTTAATTCAGCTGTGCCTTCTGCCAGATGCACCAAAGGGATTGATATTGTGTTGCTCTGGCCTCAAAAGAAATTTAGCGTTGAATTTTGGGTTATTTCCACACATTGTGTCTGATGGTAGCCAAGATATGGCTTGCAACTAAAGAAAGAATTACCCTGGTGTGCAAGTCGCTGCAGATGGTCAGAGGCACCTCTGCTGCAACGAGGATGCTATAGGATCTATCCTCTGGCAAAATGCAGGATGAACCAGAATGATGACTGCTGTGCAGTGACAACCGGTGAGCATTTTCTGTTCTTCTTCCGCTTCAAGAGGAAATTGGCCCCTAGACATATGATATCTACTGAGTGCACCGGAAGGAAACCGAGAGTGTTGACTTCGCGCGACTCTACGATATTCCTTAGTAAAACATTATAAACAGGTGGCCTTCGGCATCGCCACTTGTTGGCTCCCCCTGGCAGCGCGTTCGCCAAGTTGCGGAGACCCTACAGCCGCCCAATACTACCTGTAAGAACAAGGAGCGAATCTGACCTTCTTGTTAACCCGCCTCCCCTCCGGAGAACTTCTGCTTCGCGATGCAACGAATGAAGACCGCACCGCTGGGAAGACGTTTGGCTGTTCTTGTTGACTTGGGCGTATACTAAGGTGGTAACGAAGCGTCTTCAGCATTTCCATATTCTCAATCAAAGTTAATTGCTGAAACTGCTCAAAGAGCAAGTTCTCTTCTGCTTTCCGCTGATCTAACGTCGTTGCACTCGATATGTCGTCACCGAACAGCATTCCAGATGTCGTCTGGCTAAAGACCGCCATTGCCGCCAGCTCCCTCATCAGTGATGCTTTAAATTCGACCTCGAAATTCTCCTGGATTTTCGTCAGTTGTATTTGCTGCTGTCGTTCCAGTTCATCCCGTAACATTTGGAGCTGTTTTAGCAATGCCTTAGCCTCGGCTCCCTCAATAAAATTATGAGTTGTATTCCGGGTTTCGGCATTTTTGCGCACCGGTGTCGATTGTTTCTCGCGGATGTACTGCTGTATGCGTTGTTCTGCTAGGTGATTCTGAATCGGGGGCCTCGACTTATTGGCTTTCTGCGGTGGAGTTTTCAGGGCGCGCTCGGATGGCATCCTTCCATGCTCAAGCAGAAAATTTCTCACCATATCTGGCTGTACATGTACCAAGTCCAGGAGCAGGTTTAGGTTTGTCTCTGCTGCAGCATTTACGTCTTCTGCATTTCCTTGGGAAACCTTCCCAACCTCGGCAGCCACTGTTGGGCAGTCTGCTGTAAGTGAAGCTGAACTGTTCAAGCAGGAAGCAGCTTCACCCTGTCTAATACTAAGAGAAGGAACGCGTCCTTCTCCTTTGTCCGCTTCCTCTCCAGCAGAACACTGTCCAGATTTGGCTTGTGTGCTTGCAGATTCCTCCTGAATTTCCGCCTCCGTTCCTTCTGACTTGGCATTCACGTCTCCGACGGCTGTGATAAGGACTGCTTGCAAAAGAGCCCCTCCTGGATCTTTGCTGCTCAACTTTGTTACCTGCGCCGTTGTGCTTGGGGCAAGCGACGCAAGGGAAGCTGCTGCAGCAGCCATTCCTCTCGCGATTGCTCTCTCAGTGCTTTGAAGTGGTTGAGGTGGAGCGCTTGCCACAGCTGCTTCCAGCGCTGGCAAGTCAAGCCAAAAAGCGGGCCTTTTGGTTGCACGCGGAGGAGCTCTTATGGAGGTCCCTCTGGGGGTCTTTGCTGCGTTCTTGTCGCATGAAGACTTAGCGTTTGCTCGTCTTCGCTTCATGACATTTGGGGCATCACCCCCAGCGGCACTGTGGGATTTGCGTTTCCCTTTCAGGCCCAGTCGCTGGGTGGAAACATCAGTCAGAGAGGCATTGGCCCCGTTAACTGAATGAGACGCTCCACCTACCCATTCTTCATAGCGAGTAGTACGTTTAATACGGCGCTTGTTGCCGGGCCTTGTCTGGCTATCAAGTTTTTCACCGATGGTTGAAAGTGTCCTGTTCACAACTTCCAACACCTTCCCCTGGACTTCGCTTGACAGTGTGCCTTGATCTTGTTTCCTGGGAGTTGCTCCTCCTTCTGTCTTACACTTTTGCGTTGACACCGTGCTTCTTCCAGTAGACAGCGGGCTATTTTCTTGAGGCTTGCCTTTAGAAACCCCTGGGTTGTTTTTGGCAGGTGCAGCTCCCTTTGAGAGCTTGACTGGGCGTACACAATTGGGTGTCTGCCTCTTTCTTGTAGATCCGGACGGTAGAGTTGAAGTTTCGGGCTTCAGCGTCAATGACCTTGTTAGCATTCTTGGTTGAGAGGATCTTCGGCTCTTTTTCGCAAGTAGGGTAGTGAGTACAGCCTCGAGTGCAACACTTTTTTGTTCTTCTTTTTCCAACTGAAACGCAAAATAATTCCGTATCGCAAAATAATTCAGTATAAGAGTGACGAGCATAAAGAGATGTGTAAGCTATGAAGGAAGAACATGTTTCAAACTGCGACGCCACGACAAGGCTGCTAAGGATGGACAAAAAACTTAAACTAACGGCAAGCGAGAAGAATGACACATGCTCTGAAGAGAAATTGTTTCGCGAAAGACTACGGGTGCAGAAGGTCACCTGGCGTTCAGTTGACACTGGAACTGCGCTTTCTGGGGAACACTTAAGTGCAGCACTGAGTTCAGGGCCGCACTGCGTAGAAGCCATCGCGCCAATAAGTGAAGATGAATCAGTCGCTTCTTTGACTGCATCTATTTCCTTGTCGTTTTCCTTCTTGCAAGGCTCCCGATCAGGGATTGGATTTATTATCGCCTCAAGAGACACATTTGTAGCTGTGACGGAATTGCCCTCCATAATACCGGCCACTCAATCACTTCTTTACAACTTCAAAGAAAAATCTAACAAGCCGGATGACTTGTTTGCTGGAACACTCTCTTAAGAAGGGTTCAGACAGAACGGATCGTCGATTCGCACGCTAACCTCAGCGGTACCAGTTCTTTCGAGGCTATCTCGATGCGGAATTCCGGCTGCAGCAGACCTGAATGGGTCCTGCTGTAAGAAAAAGTAAGAATAAGAAGCATTTGGGGACCCTGGAATTCGGCAATTTTCTACGCGAAGGCAGGGAGCAAACAACCACTGGACATCTGCTGGGCACGCGATTGCCCACGCAATGATCAAGCGAAAAAGCGAATCTCACGGACGCAAAACCCTTAAAATAAAGCTCACACAAGTCAAAAAGATGTGATAGTTCAATATATCTTATTGAAGATTCAGTTCAGATGTATTAATGATGACTCTTCGTAGCGTAGAGCTGAGGCCTCCAGTTGCTGGTCCGCGGGGCAAGCTCTGACAGCTGTCGGCTTTGGTCACGTACCCGTTGGAAAACTTCCCGCAAAGTAAAGCATTATTATGCCCGAATTTTGCGTGGAATGAGCCTTTACTATATTGTAATATTACAATATAATAATAAAGGCTCCTCAGAATGACGCTACTTTCGCTGTTCATTTAACTTCTGTCAGCTTGGCCTTGAAACCGTGCCCCCAAGTGACACCGACGCCAGCCACGCGGAACTGCTGCCCAACGGATTAAAGCTTCCTTATTGGTCAAGTGGACTCGGCTTTTGGGTTAATAATTGCCTTGCGAGCATTTGAGGCACCTTTTATGCCCCTTGGAACGGCAAGAATGTTACAATCGGATGCTCGAGATGCAAGGATGCAACACTGCCGGGAAACAGGCACCCTCACACCACCATAACCTGCACTCCTGCCTAGAGCCAGCCTCGTAACAGCCTCTGCCAGCAAATCCCGGCAATCAAATAGAAGCAACATGAACTACCAGCAGAACCTTAGTTAGGACAGCTAGGCTGCAGCTTCCGAAGTGCCGTGAAGCTGCGTTCTGACCTGCCCTAATGCCGAACAGTTCGCTTTTTCGCTGAGATTCACCTTTCTTTAGAGCTGAATGAAAGCCCAGGCACCCTTTTAACCGACACCTAATTGCTTTTCAGCTTTCCCTTTGATGTGTGCAGGCAGTTTGTTTAGATGTCTCATAGCTTTGGAGCACAGACGTAGACAGCAGCAGCTACTCCCCTCTTGCCTTCTCCAGGCCGGCTTTCCTAGGCTAATAAGCCACAAAAGCATCTTTTTCCAGAACATTTTGGTGGCGAAGTATTGCCACAGTTGATTTGAAGGTCAATTGCGTGTTTCAACGCCTCGAATGAGCGTAGCATGGGCAAAGGCTTCCTCAGTTCAAGATGTTGCCAGCAGGGCCAGTGAAACGTGCAGTTTATCCCCGTAAAAGCTTACTCTGAATCTACTACACCTAAGACACAACGTGAACGCCCAAAAGAAATGAACACAGCTGACTCATTTCGCATCGGCCGAGCCAACGTGGGTCACATGCAGGGCCCTGTTCTTACCTTCTAGTTTCTTTCTGCTCTTCTGCATATGCTTACGCACTTCATACCTTTCTAATGCCTTCTTTTGAGCCAGATAGAGCACCCACGTGATTGCCACAATCCTGCAGCTTCTCATATGTGTGGAAACTCCCAGCAGATCGAGAACAGCAAAATGCAGAGTTCCTCATTTTCGCCGTTGAAGACCTTTGACCACCCGCTTCCTGATTCATGTTTTTCAAGTGGCTTTAAAATGGAACAGAAGGCGTGAGAAAGCAAGAAACTTTCAATTTCAAGCACAAGCCAACTGAGAGCTGTGGCTCTCAGAAGAAGCAACAAAGTTCTCATCCCAAATGAATTCCACCTGAAACCTGTGGCTCCTGCTGCGTCTAGCTGTGGAATGATGGGCGTGCTGAGAAAAAATTATTTCCCCGTCATTTTTCCCTGAACCCTGAGTTCCAGAGATCTTGAGTTTCAATTGCATGCACATGAATTCCTTATTATCTGGATCACATGCCACCAAATCCAGCAAGAACCGCGAATGCGAGATCCTGGTAGATTGCCTATAGTACCTAAAATCCAAAATGTGGCACTAATTTCAAATGTACGTCTGCAACTTCTCCTGCTGCGCTGCTCGTTTCTGCTTGTTTCACCAGAGCCCTGAGCCTACAGCGGTTTCAAAAACTTGCAGAGCCATTTGTCCCAGCAGACTATTTGCACGATCTTTCTGCCCGCTCGGCAAAACAGATTCTGCTGCAATGTGAACGAATCGGCTTGGCGAACTATCTCGTTTGTCGAGAGCTCAAATCTGTGTCCCAGTGCTCCATTTCCGATCCAACGTTTCGCCCCGTGAGCATCTTCTTGGCCATAAGTGGGTCCTTTACAAGCCCCAAATGGTTTTTACTTTCGGGCCCTGCAGCTAAACGCCTCAGATCCACATGAGAGGAGAAGAAACTTGCTGCTGCAACGGCGCCGCCGTGGCTGTCTTCCAAGCACAGCCACTGGCTGCGTTGCAGATTTAGTACGAGTCGTTGGGACTTGTGCTTCAGGAGGCTGCAGTGAGTTCGTTTGGCTCTCGAACTTAGTTTGCCGCTGCACCTTTCTGAGCGCTGCTGCAGCTGCAGCCAGCAGATGCAGCAGCGCAGCAGCGAGCTACAGGCTGCTGCAGCTGCAGCCTGACCCTCTTGGGACTTGTGCAACTTTTCAGCGCCGGAGTTTTGCCGTTTCTTGCCAGACACGCGGCTGGTAAACTGCTACTAAAAAGAAAACTCCGCCAATTTCTCAATTGGCATTGACTACCTGCTAAAGTGGGCTGGGCTAGAAATGCATGTCAGGTGAGCTCAATGGGTAGGCGTTTTGGCTAGCAGCGGGTTTCTTAGTGCCAACTAGTGGCGCTGCGCTGCCTGGCGGAGTTGCATGCATGCAGCAATTGGGACAATCGATTGGTCAGCATTTCGCGACTTAGCTTTGAAGCTAAGGGGCGTGGTTAGCGGAGCTGCCTGCGCAGCAAAAGCGGCGTCGCCCGCTGCAGCAAACGAGGCAGAGGCGTCAGCAGCAAGCCCAGTCACTTCCGACTTTGGCGCTGGTCGGCAGCTTCCGCTGCAGCAGCGGGCGCAGCCACTCGTAGGTGGCCGGGAGTTCGAACCAGTTTTGCTGCGGGCAGCTGCTGCTGCCGTTGCTGCTGCTGCTGCTGCTGCTGCTGCCCGCTATCTCCAGCGCCCAGCGGCGCAGGGCCGCCTCCCCAGCGCTTTCCTCGCCGTGGGGGTCACTGAGGAACTTCTGCACGCGGCAAAGGGCAGCGTAGCGATCCAGGCAGTCAGTTTCGACCAGCAGCAGCCCCCAGGCGCGCTGCATGAGCGGCAGCAGCAGCTGCAGCACGAGCTGCACGTCTTCTTCGTGCACTTCCAGCAGCAGCTCGTCGTGGATCTGCAGCACCACTTGGGCTCTCAGGGGCCTCCGCAGCACTTCGTGGGGGGCCCCCCAAAGCCCGCGGGGCCCTGCTGCTGCAGCTGCCGCCAGTGCATGCGCGCTGCCTGGGCTCGCGAGGGCGCGCTGCTGCTGCTGCTGCAGCAGCTGCTCCACCCTGGCAGTGACGAACTTCATGATGTCTGCGGCGAGGCCCTGGATGGGGCTGTTCATGGCCTGCCTCCTGCAGCGGCTCTTGGCAGCCCCGCTGCTGCTGCTGCTGCTGCTGCTGCTGCTGCTGGGGGAGCTGGCTGGGCGTTTTGCTGCGCCCACGCGCTGCAGCAGCGCCGCCAGCTGCGGGCAAAGACTCAGCTGTGCCGCCAGCTCGTCGGCCCCCTGCAGCAACCTGCTGCGGCCAACTAAAGTTTCAATAGTTCCGGTGTTTTCGGCGAACTGCGTGTGCGTGCGCATCAGTGTCTGTACACCCCGGTAGGCACTGAAGAAGCAGCTTATTAGCTGCCGCGCGTCTTTCAGCGGCAGCTGCAGCTGGCGAGAAAGTCCTTTTTCCGTTTGTCCGTAGAGAATGCCTGCGCGCAAAAAGCTGCCACTTGCATGCGCCAACTTTGCTTTTTTTCACCAACTCGACACTTCACTGCCACGACCGGACTTCGAAGCAGCAAAGAAACTCGCTGCTGCTGCCACGCAGCAGCAGCACAGCGCCTCGCGCGGGACCCGCAGCAGCAACGCAGCACCAGCAGCAGCCTTAGCAGCAGCAGCGGTAGCATCAGCAGCAGCAGCAGCAGCAGCACGATCCGACTGAAAAGGGAGCAGCGGCGAGAGGACTTAAGGGGAACCCTCCTGCTGCTGCTGCTGCTGCTGCTGCTGCTGCTGCTGCTGCTGCTGTTTGCTGCAGCTGGAGCTCACCGTAAGTGACTGTCTTGGCCGCGCTGCGGCGCTCCCTAGTAACTTCCTCAGGGGCGCAGCCAAACAGCCGCGAGGCCGCCAGCTGGAAGCAGTCCAGCTTCTGCCCCCCAGGGGGGCCCCCTGGGGGGCCCCCAGGGGGCCCCCCTGGGGGGCCCCCAGGGGGGCCCCCGGGGCCCCCCGCCTTCCCCCCCCGCAGGTCCGCCAGCAGCTGCGGGTCATTTGAAAGGAATGCCAAAATGTGCAGCTCCATTTGCGAGTAGTCCACTGACAAAAAGCGCCAAGGAGAGCCACGAACTCCTGCTGCTGCAGCTGCTGCTGCTGCAGCTGCTGGTGCTGGCAGCAGCGCTGCTGCTTGTTCTGCTGCTGCTGCTGCTGCTGGCAGAGCTTTTGCTGCAGAGGGAGCCGCAGCAGCTGCTGCGCTGCTGAAGGAAGCACTCAGCGCATCTCCGCAGCCGCCCGCCCAGTCAGTCTTGCAGGGGCTCACTGGGGCTGGCACAAAGGCCCTTCTGCAGCAAAAGTTTGGCAAAAGTTTGGCAAAAGTTTGGCAAATAAACAAATTTTTAAAATAAATTACAAAAGAAGAAAAGCTTTAGACACAAAAACATTAAAATTAAAGAAAAATGGAATTCGAAGGACCCGCGCAGCAGCCACAGACACACAAAAAAGACCCTCCGCTCCTGCCCCAAACTATGCTGCAGCTTTAGTTGCTGCTGCTGCAGCTGCTGCTGCAGCTCTTTGTGCTGGAGCTTTAAGTGCTGCAGCTGCGTGTGCTGCAGCTGCGTGTGCTGCAGCTGCGTGTGCTGCGGCTTTGTATACTCAGCTCCCCCTCCCAAAGAACAAACCCTGCCTGTGTCTGCGTAGGCTGCTGCAGCAACAAATGGCTGCTGCAGCAGCTGATGGTTGCTGCAGCAGCTAATGGCTGCTGCAGCAGCTAGTGATTGCTGCAGCAACTAATGGCTGCTGCAGCAGCAACCCTTACTGAGACTCACCGGATCCACCGCCACTCCTCCTGGTGGTTTGGAATATTTTGCAAATTGGGATTTCTGCATGCGAGGCGGCCCGTGGCAGCTCCTGCAGCACACAAAGCTGCAGCAAAGCCAGCTGCAGCAAACCGTGCTGCAGCGAAAAGTGCTGCAGCAAAATGTGCTGCAGCTGCTGCAGCAAAAGCCCGCCCGCGGCACGTGAGGCCGCGCATGCAGCAGCGGGGGCGCTGCGCAAGGCGCAAGCCCCAGGCGGGCTGAGGGGCCCCCAGGCCGCAGGCAGCAGCAGCAGCAGCTGGCAGCAGCAGCAGCAGCTAGCTGCAGCAGCGCAGCAGCACCTGTCTGCAGCAGCGAGACGTGAATGCGGCGGGTGGGAGGGAAAATGTAGGCAGGCAGTGAAGCAAAGTAAGTGCTGAAGAACTTGTGGCTCGCTCTATATTCCAAAAGAGAAGAAAGCAATCTGCAGCAGCAAAAAACAAAAAAGCAAACCAGCGAGACATTTTGCTGCAGCAGCCAGAGACACCCGGCTCGCCTGAGCCCAGGGACCTCAGCAGCAAGGGGGCAGCAGCAGTGGCTGCAGCAGCAAAGGCTGCAGCAGCAAAGGCTGCAGCAGCAAAGGCTGCAGCAGCAGTGGCTGCGGCAGCAAAGGCTGCAGCAGCAAAGGCTGCAGCAGCAAAGGCTGCAGCAGCAAAGGCTGCAGCAGCAACGGCTGCAGCAGCAAAGGCTGCAGCAGCAAAGGCTGCAGCAGCAAAGGCTGCAGCAGCAAAGGCTGCAGCAGCAAAGGCTGCAGCAGCAAGAGACTGACTCTGCCACTTGGCGTTCGCGGGGGCCCATTTCTTGGGATCGCATTTGCCGCAGCAGCCCCTGCAGCGCGTCGGCCCCCGTAGAGCGGCTGCCGCTGCTGTTGCTCTTGCTGCTGCTGCTGCTGCTGCTGCTGCTGCTGCTGCTTCTGCTGCTGCTGCTGCTGCTGTTGCGGCTGCTCAGCGCCTCGTCGCTGGGGTCGCCCTCAAAGGCTGCAGCAGCAGCAGCAGGAGAGAGCTGAAGCTCGTCGTAGAGAATTGCTGCCAGCTGACTGCAGCAGAAAAGCAGCAAAAGAGAAGCAGCAATGTGGGGTGTGGGGCCCCCGGGGCCCCACGAGGGCCCCAGCCACAAAGAGACAAAAGCAGCAGCAGCAAAAGCAGCAGCAAAGAAGCTGCTGCTGCTGAGGCTCAGCGCAGCTCACCTGGGGGAGTTTATGTTGACGCTGCTGCGGCCAGTTAGCTGCTCAATGAGCTTCCAAATTCTTTTCTCGAGTTGCTGCTGCTGCTGCAGCGCGTCGGCGAAGTCTTCGGGGGAAGCAGCGGGCGCATGCGCATGCACTGTGGGGCCCCAAGCAGCAGCAGCAGCAGCAGCAGCAGCAGCAGCAGGGGGGGCCCCCGTGCTGCAGGCCCCTGCCCCGCGCTGCTGCCGCCAGCCTCGGGCCAACAAAGATGTTGAAAGACAAAGTCCTCTTCTTTCAAGAGCAGCAAGAACTGGAATTAAAGGTCTTTCAATTTGGGCCCAGACTCCCCAGGCGAGGCTGAGGGCCCCGGTGTCCTCCGCGGCCTGCTGCTGCTGCTGCTGCTGCTGCAGCTGCTGCTGCAGCAGCCGCTGCTGCTTCTCCAGCACCACCAGTGTCGCTGCACCCCGAGACTCGCAAAACGCCAACACGTCGCTGCTGCTCAAGTCCTCTGGCAGGCGTGGGGGGCAGCAGCGTTTGAACTGCGCAGGCAGCCGCACCAGCCCGCTGCTGCTGCTGCTGCTGCTGCTGCTGCTGCTGCTGCTGGGTTGCTGCAGGGCCTCCTCCTCAGCTTTCTTGTGCTCTGCGCACGCGAGACCCACTGCGCTTAAGTCCTCTTTGCTGGCTGCTGCCTGCGGCACACCCACCGGCTGGAAGGAGAGCTGCAGCTGCGCTGCTGCTGGAGCCATTTTGCACTCAGGACTGCTGCTGCTGCTGCTGCTGCTGCTGCTGCTGTTGCTGCTGCTGCTGCCGTCCTGTGGAGCTGTTCCCCGCGCCTTCTTCTGCGGAGCTTTTGAGTAAATGCCCCACCCAAACTGCCCAAAGAGTCCCTGCTGCAGCTGCTGCTGCTCTGGGGGCAGCAGCGAGCGCCGCGCAGCAGCAAAGACGCGCCAGGGTGGCTGAAGGGTCGAGCGGCAGCGGGACGGCTCAGCGGCTGCTGCCTGAGCAGCAGCAGCAGCAGCAGCAGAAGATGGAGCCGCAGCAGCAGCAGCTGGAGGCGCAGCAGCAGCAGCAGAAGACGAGGCGGCTGCTCCCCGCGTGTGGCGCTTTTTGCGCGGAGCGCCGGAGGCAGCAGCACTTGCTGCTGCTGCAGCAGCAGCAGCAGCAGCTTCCGTCATGCGTTCTATTATTAAGGAGCTGTAAGGAGACGCCAAGAGATGCAGAAGAGACTCTTCACTGTGGGAGTCAGCGCGGGCTGCAGTTTCCGCGTCGCACTGCTCCCCTGCTGCTGCTGCTGCTGCTGCTGCTGCTGCAGCGGGAGCGGCGTCGCCGTGGGCCTGCTGCTGCTGCTGCTGCAGGCGTGGCTGCAGCAGCTCGAAGAGCGCCGCGTGCTGCAGCAAATCGGAACTGCGCAAGTTGGCCCCCCGCAGCAGCCAAGCCAGCAGCGAAGTGCACAGCAGCTGCTGCTGCGGCGGCAGCGGCAGCCCCAAGTTCAGCAGCAAGTGCAGCAGCTGCTTCGCGCCGTGTGCTGCCCACAAGACCTGGGGCTGGGGTGTACAGACACCTGCAGCAGCAGCTCCCCACACACCCCGCGACGCAGCAGCAAACTCCTCCAGCTGCCCCTCAAGCAGCAGGCAGCAGCGCAGCAGCTCGCAAGCAGCAGGGTCCTGCTGCAGCTCCGGAACAGCAAAGTGAAAGTGCAGTATGTCTTCTTGCTGCTCCTGCTGCTCCTGCTGCTGCTGCGGCTCCTGCTGCTGCTGCTGCTGCTGCTGCGGCTGCTGCTGCTGCTGCTGCTGCTGCTGCTGGCAGGACAAGAGCTGCAGCAAGCCGGGGGGCAGGCGCAGGCTGAAAGTCAGGTGGAGAGGCAGCAAAGCGCAAGCTGGGGAATGGGCGCCGGAAGGGCTGTTAGTTAGCCAGGCCACAGCCACTGGCAGCACGAGGGACCCACCGCGGTAGCTGCTGCTGCTGCTGCTGCTGCTGCTGCTGCTGCTGCTGCTGCTGCTGCGGTTTGCTGCGCTGCTGCAGCTGCTGGGCGTGCCTGTGCTTTCGTCAAGTAGCGAAAGACACATCCCAAGCGGGTCCACCGGGATCCGCTCAGGCAGCTGACGGGGGCACTCTTCCGCTGCTGCTGCTGCTGCTGCTGCTGCTGCTGCAGCGCTGCTGCACTTGCCCGTGGGTCTCTTCACGTGCTGCAGCACCGCAAGATAACGGAGACACAAACGCAGCGTGCTGCGGAAGGCTGCTGCTTGCTGCAGTGGCGTGGCAGCTGCAGAGACGCTTCTGCATTCGATGGGGGGCAGCAGCGGCAGCGCTGCTGCAGCAGCAGCCGAGGCTGCTGCTGCAGCACTTCCTGCTGCAGTTCCTGCTGCAGTACCTGCTGCAGTACCTGCTGCAGTACCTGCTGCAGAACCTGCTGCAGTACCTGCTGCAACTTCATCAAAGGCGTCCAGCTTCGCTGCAGTATCCGAAGCTGCTGCTGTTACGCCACCGCCAGCGCAAGGAATACCAGCAGCAGCAGCAGCAGCTTGAGCAGCAGCAGCAGCAGCAGCAGCAGCAGTTGCTGCGGCTGCACTGTCGCCATGGGTCGCAGCAGCCTTACGTCGCGCTGCTGGGCGCGCAGCAGCGCGGATTGCTGCAGCGCGCAGTGCTGGTGCAGCAGCAGCAGCAGCTGCTGCTGCTGCCGCTTCCACGCTGGCCGTTGCCTGCTGCTGCTGCCGCATGTGCTGCTGCACCGAAGCCACGTGCTGCTTCTCCTGCTCGAGCAGCAGCAGCATTTGGCTCTCCCAATCTTCCCCCAAGTGTGGGGCCCCACACTCAGAGACACTTCCTGCTGCTGCGGCTTTGGTGGCTCCATTTGTTTCTCTTGGAGTCTCCACAGAAGGCCCCCCAACGAGCTGCTGCTGTCGAGTGCCCTCTGCAGCAGGAAGAGCGCTGCTGCTGCTGCTGCTGCTGCTGCTGCTGCTGCTGCTGCTGCTTGAGGTTGCGGCGGCGTTCGCGCTGCTGCTGTTGACCCTGGGATTCCACGTGCTGCTGCCGGAGCTGCCGCAGGGGTAGCTGCTGTGCTTGTTGCTGTTGCTGCAGCAGCTGCTGTTGCTGCTGCCGCTGCTGCTGTTGGTGTCGTCACTGCTGCCATCGCTGCCGTCGCTGCTGTTGCTGCTCCTGTTGCTGCTGCCGCTGCTCTGGTTGCTGCTGCTGCTGCTCGCTGCAGCCAGTGGGGCGTCTGAGGCCTCAGAAGGAGCCATAGAGGCAGCAACACCGGCTGGTGCAGCAGCAGCAGCAGCAGCATGGGCTGCTGCTGCAGCAGGGGCTGCTGCTGCGGCCTGCGCGCCAAGCAGCAGCAGACGGCGCTGCGACAAAGAGTGGAAGCACCTCGAAAAGACCACTGGTGTTCCTGCTGCAGTGCACGATTTATCGTGCAGCTTCGAGAAGTGCAGGGGGGCCCCCAGGGCCCCCTGCAGCAGGGGGCCCCCCAGCCAGGCTGGCCACAGGGCCCCCACAGAGTTCCAGAGGGCCCACTGCACGTTTTGAGTGCTTTTTCCCAACTCAGAAACTTGCCGAGCTGCTGCTGCTGCTGCTGCTGTTGCTCCTGCTGCTGCTGCTGCTGTTGCTGCTGCTGCTGCTGCTGCTGCGGATGGCGGCGCAGGAGGTGCTTTGCGGAGATCTGGCGTCGTTGCTACCTCTCGATCGGTCTTCGCACCTGCTGCAGCAGCACCTTCTGCAGCAGCAGCTGCTGCTGCTGCTGCTGCTGTTGCCTTTGCTGCTGCTGCAGGTGAGGCACTCTGGGGAGGGTCAGAGCCCTTGGACAAACCAGAGACAGGTGCAACACCCTTGGATGGCTGCAGCACAGCAGCGCCGCAGCCTGGGGCTGCTGCTGCTGTTGGTGCTTTTGCTGCTGCTGCTGTTGCTGCTGCTGCTGTTGCTGCTGCTGTTGCTGCTGCTGCTGCTGCTGCTGATGTTGCCGCTGTTAACGCGCTGCTCGCTGCAATAGCCACAGACACATCGTCTGGACCTGCTGCTGTACTTGCCTTCGCCGAAGTAGCCGCTGCTGCTGCTTCCTGCTTTGCTGCTGCTGTTCTTGGGGCATCCTTCCCAGCAGCAGCAGCAGCAGCAGCAGCAGCAGCAGAAGCCTCAACCCTCAGGAGCCCTTGTGAAGCAGCTGCTCGCTTGCTTCTGGACTTGCTTTTAGTTGGCGGAGCGTCGGCAGCTCGCGTTTTCTCGGCTGCCCGGCGTTTCGTTGCTGCTTCTGTTGTTGCTGCTGCTGCTGCTGTTGCTGCTGCTGCTGCTGTTGCTGCTGCTGCTGTTGCTGGTACTGCTGCGGGCGGTCGTGCAACAGCTTTTGCCGCATACTCTTGCGACACGCCAACTTCTTCCTTATCCGCTATCGTTGCTGCAGTTGTTGCTGTAGTTGTTGCTGCATTTGCTGCTGCAGTTGCTGCTGCAGTTGCTGCAGTTGCTGCTGCAGCAGGAGGATGAAGGGTCGCTTTTGCTGCTGTTGGGGCTTTCTCTGTGTACACTGCTGCCTCTTCGTCTGCTTCTGCCCACTGCAGCAGAAACTAAAGACACAAAAGGCGCAGCGCAGCAGCAGCAGCACAGCAGGAGCATCTGCAACAAGAGCTGCCTCTGCTCTCCCTCCAGCGTCCAACTTGCTGCTGCTGCTGCTGCTGCAGCTGCTGCTGCAGTTGCTGCTCCAATCCCCGCATGCAGACTGCATCCTACTACTGCAACTTCGGCCTCCGCGCCTTCCCGCAGCAGCAGCAGCAGCCCCAGCATCACCCCCAGCAGCAGCCGCACCACCCGCCGCAGCAGCAGCAGCAGCGCAGCAGCAGCAGCGGCGCAGCAGCAGCGCAGCAGCAGCGGAGCTCACTTGTGCAGCGGGTTTGTGGACCCCGAACTGGGCGAAGCAGCTGGGAAGTGTGTGCTGCTGCTGCTGCTGCTGCTGCTGCTGCTGGCCTGCTCGGGAAAGCTGGAAGGCCTGGAGGCTGCAGCAGCGAGCAGCAGCAACTTGAGCATCGAGAGCCACCAGCTGCCGATTTTGCTTCCACTGCGGCACAAAGGCCTTCACTGCTGCTGCTTGCCGACGCCCCAACACCCCCGCCGCGCTGCAGCCCCGAGACTCAAAGCCCTGGCCGAACACGCATGCAAAAAGCCCCACACGCATGCATGCATGCATGCATGCATGCATGCATGCATGCGTGTATGCATGCAAGCTTGCATGCAGCCCCTAATGCATGCATGCTTGCAGGCAGGCAGGCAGGCAGGCAGACAGACTGCCCCATATGCATGCATGCATGCAGGCAGAAACGCAGGCTTCCTTGCATGCATGCATGCATTCTTTTTTCCTTGCATGCATGCATGCATGCATGCATGCATGCATGCAAGGAAAAGAGAAAAGGAAGAGACAGACGGAGAAAGAGACTGGGGGGAGAGTGGGGGAAAAGAGGCTGTCTGAGGTGTACAGACACCGGAGAGCGAGGCTGGTCAAAGGGTCTTTTTGGGGAAGAAAAAAAGATGGAAAAAAAAACAGAAAGCAAAAATGAAAAAGAAATACTTTTAAACCCATTTTTGGGGAAGAAAAAAAGATGGAAAAAAAAACAAAAAGCAAAAATAAAAAAAGAAATACTTTTAAACCCACTTCCAGACCCTCCACAGCCTGCAGCAGCTTCCGCGCTGCTGCGGATCCGATCCCAGGACACCCCACGATCCCATCTGCTCGATCCCCAACCAACGCAAAGAAGTCCAGCAGCTGGTGCGGCTCCACCCCTGCAGCAGCAGCAGCAGCAGCAGCAGCGAGGCAGCAGCAGCAGCAGAGGCGGTAGCAGCAGAGGGAGCAGCAGCAGCAGCAGCGAGGCAGCAGCAGCAGCAGAGGCGGTAGCAGCAGAGGGAGCAGCAGCAGCAGCAGCAGGAGCACAGGGCAGCAGAGGCAGAGGCAGCAGCAGCAGCAGACGCAGCAGCAGCAGCAGCAGTTGGAGCGCATGCAAATGTGCTGCTGCTGCTAGATTTTTGTCTTTTGTACTTTTCTCTGCTGCACCGATAGAAGCAAATGGATCTCAATTGGACTTTAAAATGCATTTAATTTAATTTCAAAAAATAAAAATAAAAAGAACAGCTGCTGCATGCACAGGCCGCGGGCCCCCCGGGTGTCTATACACCTCAACGCAGCAGCAATGCGCAGCAGCCAGAGGGAAATAAAAACATTTAAAAGAAATTTACAAATAAAATTAAAGAAATAAAAAAGATTAAATAAATTAATTAAACAATAAAAGTAAGATTAGAAGTCTTAAAGTCCAAAGATTAAAATGCAGGAATAGAAATACAAGCACATCTGAAGGGGGATACTTGCTGCTGCTGCTGTTAGGATGGAAATTTTCAAAGTTTGCAGCAGCAGCAGCAGCAGCAGCAGCAGCAACAGCAGCAGCAAGCCTTAAGTGCGAATAAAACAAAACAATTTCTTTGAAAATGGATCTTCAGATTAAGGAAAATGATATTAAATGAAAAATACATAAATGCACTGCCAGCTTCACCTGGCTGGGCCAGGCACAGAAAACCAGAAACCCTAAACCCTAAACCCTGAACCCTAAACCCTAAACCCTAAATCCCAAACCCTAAAAGCTAAACCCTAAACCCTGAACCCTAAAGACAGGCACAGAACTCTGTGGATCTGCTAAAAGAAATGCACTAATCACAAACATTCCAAACCCTAAACCCTAAACTCCACCCTAAACCCCAAACCCTAAACCCTAAACCCTAAACCCTAAACCCTAAACCCTCGCGTTGGCCCACCGTATTCGTCTCTGACGAATTGGCTGTCCAGCATTTGGCCCTGGCGGTGAAGAGCCAGCAGCCGCACGCGGGGGCAGCGGCTGTGGGGCAGCTGGTTGTAGCGCAGCAGCTGCAGCAGCAGCAGCAGCAGCAGCAGCAGCAGCAAGGGAGACGCGGCGCTGCAGCAGCAGCACTGCGCCAGGGAGCCTCCTGCTGCTGTTGCTGCAGCAGCAGCAGCAGCAGCAGCAGGCTGGCTGGAGGCTGCAGAGGAGACATTTAGCGAGACAGAAAGAAACCCTTCGCAGGACGCAGCAACGAGGCCAAAAACAGCAGCAGCTGCAGCGCAGCAGCAGCAGCAGCAGCAGCAGCAGCAGCAGGGGCCAGTACCTGAAGGAGGTCCTTGTCGACAGTGGCCACAACCACTTCCTCGAATTCAGGGCACGCGTCCTCCACCTGCTGCTGCTGCTGCTGCTGTTGCTGCTGCTGCTGCTGCTGCTGCTGCTGCTGCTGCTGCTGCTGCTGCTCGTCTTTGCAAATGCGGGCC